GGTATCTAAGCTGAGAGGTGAAAGATACATCAGAGTGACCCGAGTCAAGAAACAGAGGAGCAGCAGCTCACGCAAAGAAATGGGCAAAGATGGAGAACTCACTATTGGCTATGGAGAATGACCGCGAGGAAAATGCTGATGACGAGTGTCTTAAATAATCAGTCAATACGGGATAAAGGCTTTTTACAAATTGCCATATTTGTCACGTAACAGAATCTATCCGTTTTCTCTCATAATCCCACCTCCCACAGTCACTGGCTGTGCGATGGTAAAACAGGGGAAGCTCTCTGTATCGGTTTCCTCATCTGCATCACGGGAATAATAACTTCGTGAAGTTGCTGTGAACCGAGAGCTAACGCAGGTAAAATACCATGCCACGGATGAACTGGATGCTCACCATATGATTTACTCCCCCCAGGCATAGTAACACTACATTTTGCAGCAACCTTTTCTCTAGGTGAACCACGTAACTAGTTACCCATGATCGAATGGGAGCCCAAGGGTTGTGTCGGGTCTAGACTAAGGCAGTTACAAGCAGGTGCGCCTTTCTCATGATCTCTCCCTTCCCTTATCTGACAACTTTGGAGTCCACATGTGCAACATGGGTCTCTGAAAGACTGCATGAAGCAGAACCCCTTTATGCTACCACACACCTACCCTCTGCTGAGTCGAGTGGGCTGTGACATGTGGCGGCCAGATAAACCCCCCCCAAAATCGTATCGTGTTGTAACACTCAGGACTTGGGGTTGTTTGTGACGGTAGTTACCCTATCCTTATTTATTCAAATGTTGAGCCCAATGTGTAGCACAAAGTAAGTACTGAATAAATGTTAGCTGAGGATGCCAGAATTGTTATTTGTGGTTTTATTATTATTAATACATGAGACAATGTGGCCTGGTAGTTCAAACTCAAGCTCTGGCATCGGACAAAATTGGGTCTGACTCGCAGCCAAAGGTTACCAACTTTGTTTCCCAGCCTCCTATGCCTTCCTGTACTCATCTATAAAATGCAGGTCGTAACCACGCCTGCCTCGGAAGGTCACTATGAGTACTGAATAAAACAGAGCATGTAAATCCTTTGGCACGCCTGCACCTAGAAAGCACTCAATAAGTAGAAGCTACTAATAGTATTATCTGGGGAGTAAAATCTGATGTTGGCGAAGTTTGAAGATTTGCTACTGCATCATCTTTGGAGACATCTCCGGGGAGCCTATTTCTCTCGTATTTTAACACCTCAGAAAGTTCAGCACGTCTTCCTTTCTCCTCCAGGACATGAGCAAGAGCAGACTGGTCACTTTGGCAACCTGAAAACTGAGCGCCCCTGCCATCACCCCAGGAATGTCTGTTCCCCTGAATGTGTATCCATAATGGTGTCAGGTCAGTAATTACTCCACTCGACAAAATAACAATAATAATAATAATAATGTGCTAACAGATCAGGCCTCCAGTGCTCATAAATTATTCTTCCTCGCCTTCCTCAGCAAGTATCTCGGGGATCCAGGGAATGTGAGCTGTTGTTGGCCTCAGAGGTTTTCCGACGGCTGGCTCTCTCACTGCTGAGGCTACTGGCTTGCTCCATTTTCCCAGCACCACGAGGCACAAGCGACTCGTGCTGGCAGTTGACATCTTTTAATATTTGTTGCTCTCTTTCTGCCTAGCACTTGTGGCTCCATCTTGACACGAAGCCGTTTCTGTCATTGCCATTACTAACTAAATAGCCCCTGGACTCTAGCTGGGAAACAGTGCTATAAATTGCTTAGAGTTATCCTATTTCCTGCAAACAAAAATCCTGGCAGTTTCGGGTCCATTTTTAGTTTATTATTTATACGGCCAGGCCATTTATCGCAAGATACTGCCTCTCTCTGGGTCAGAGTAGGCAAATTATTCCATTTTCTATTGTACATGGTGCAGCTCCTGATTCAGTAGCCTCGACAGGAGGCAGACTTAGGGTGGAAGTATTTGCACGTTTGATGCCCAGAGCAGGAAATCATTATCTGTGCCCTACTCTTCCTTGGCACTTAAAACAGAGTGGGATTGAAGAGCAGGATTTTCATATCTCTTTAGCCATTGGGTCAAGTTATCGCCAGAGACAGAAAGATGGGGAGAGCGAGCTTGGACCGCACAGATTCATTTTAATGGTCTATTGGTTCCACTTAGTGAAGGCCTATTAATTGCATAACATGCATCTGTATCTGTGTCTTTCAAATAACATTTCTAACCACCTGGGGAGCTGCTAAGAAGGCACAGAGGGGTATATAAAGAATGGGTGCAATTAGGCAATCATGATCAAGGATAGAGAAAGGTTTGAAGGGAGAGAAAGAAAAGATGCTCCTGTTTCAATGCTGTAGGATGGTTTTATAGGAAACAAAAGACTAATTATGAGAAGCTTTCCTTTGTAAATTGCTACACAAGTAACACAGAGACTGAGAGTAGTAAATTCCTCAGCTGTGTTAGGGAGGGCAGGAGAGCGAGGAGGTTTCCAATTTGAAAAGAAACTTTTTTTTTCAATTCTGATAAAAAAAAATCTGCTAAAATTATATTTTTCATTCCCCTTTCTTATTTCACAGTGAAATTCCATTTTAATAAAATGTGGAAATTGAAAACTACTTGGTATGTTTTTAACCCTACCTTGTGTCTTGTGCCCCCTAAGGAACCCCCAAGCGCATCTCTGAGGAAGAGAAAAAGTCCTGATCCTCCGTAAGAGGAGTCGCCGACTAGCGGCCACTTGTCATTTCCTGACAGCCCCATTCATCAAGCGTTGATCATCATAGTGCCATCTCCCTTAACAGATCCTGATCTATTTCAGGGACACGGGAATTTCTTCATAATGTTTTGATTGTCTTACCTTAGGAAAAGGGAAAATAAGCACCTTGAAATTTTTGAAAATGTTTAGGTTTGTAATGCATTTGAGAGAAGGAAATGAATGGCAATAGATATTTTCTCTTTGTATGTGAGTGTTCACTACATTTTGCTTTGCTAAGAAAGACAAAGCATGCAATAAGAAGTGCCTCGGCTTCTAGAATGTTCTCAGATGGAAGGAATAAGCCAGGGAAGGAGTTAGCCCCTTTCTGATGTGGCCACCTTGAGAGAGGTACATTAGCAAGGATCAGACTCTCACCCTGATATTGGAGGGACTGAAAAAATCACGGTGAGAGGACCAGAAACTGGTCTGAAGCACACACTTGGCTCCTGTGGAGGATGCTCTGAAAATCAATTCAACGCCTTGTCTTTTGGACAGGAGTCCAGAGTAGACCAGCTGAAGTGCCGGGACACGACCGATACGGGGCCCACTGCCAGCCAGTCTCAGCCCAGAGAACAACATCTGGAAAGTGAACATATCTTGTCTTGGGCCTACAGGTGACTGTTAAGGGGGTAAGTGGTTGGCACCTCTACTTTAATCTTGGTCCACCATACGCCCCCAAAATGGGCCTCTGCTTTAAAAGTCTAAGTACTATAAGGAGTAACTAATTCTATTTTCTCTCCTGACAGGTGAGGCACTACAATGAGCTACTTCTCTACTAAAATGGGCCTTCTGATGGGTCCAGGTCAAGATTTAGAGGGGCGCCTGGGTGGCACAGTCGGTTAAGCGTCCGACTTCAGCCAGGTCACGATCTCGCGGTCCATGAGTTCGAGCCCCGCGTCAGGCTCTGGGCTGATGGCTCGGAGCCTGGAGCCTGTTTCCGATTCTGTGTCTCCCTCTCTCTCTGCCCCTCCCCCGTTCATGCTCTGTCTCTCTCTGTCCCAAAAATAAATAAACGTTGAAAAAAAAAATTAAAAAAAAAAAAAAGATTTAGAGGTCATAGTGCGGTGGAAAGTCCCAAGAAGGAAAAGATAGTGCTCTCCTGGGTACCATCAAGAGCAATTATGAGCAGTAATATCTTTGACATTCAGGACACCAGCAGTAGTGCCCAGGACATAGAAATCAGGCTGGAATTGGGTTTTGTTATTGGTATCACACGGAGACATCTATAATGTTTTTTTAGTCTATACAACAAAGATTTTGACTAAACCTAACTCCAGATTTTCTCTTGTTCTACATCATAATTTCAGACCATCAAACATAACAGTCACACAGGACTTTATTACCCTTGCACCACCAAGCTTAGTGTCTTATCGTTAGCAATCCAAAAGTACTTATTAAATAAAATAAAATCGGATGAACTTCTTAAAGAGACTAGACATTCAACAGTCTAGTGTATTTCCCTGCATATGATCCTGCTTTGTGTGACCTTGTTAGAAAGGAATGATGCACTTAATTAGAAAAGAAATAGGCTGTGCCCTCCACCTACAGCAGGGGTGATTGAAATCGTCACCTTTAAGAAACAACATTTCAAAGGCAGTTTGGCTCTCCTTTATACACAAGACCAGATGGAAAATCATAACTAAATCATAACGTCATTGATGCAACAAATGTATTTCATGGGTATGAAGAAGTGTGCTTGATGGTAGTTTGGTTTAAACCAATCTTGTAAGATATAAATCACGAGGGTCTAACTTCTTGTCACTAGGACCCATTATTGGTAAGACAGTTCACGTATTTTGTCTGCCTGTTCTTCACATATGAAAAAGGACGTGAAAGAGAGAGTAGTCTTCTTCCACCTTGTCCTCAAAATCTCAGACTATTCTGGCCACTGATTAGAGGGATCCACCTCCACTAGCTAATGGCCAGTAAAAAAAAAAAAAAAAAAAAAAAAAAAAAAAAAGGAAATAGTTAATACTGTTTAAATACAAAGTTGTGTCAAAAAAAATCTTTCCCAGGGAAAAGGTAAAATCAAACAATGCAGACTTAAAAAAAAATGGGAAGAAATACTCCCAAAATACTCCAAAAGAATTACATCATTTACTGTCATTAATATACTAGGAAATTCAAGGCCAGCTCTACGATAGTGGAATCACGTTCTGGGCTTTTTCACCTTTTCATGGCATGAGACATGCAGAAAATAATATAAATAATACTAATAACAATACCTGTAAAGCATACTTATTTTGGTAAATACTTACTTTGGACAGAGGTAACCTGCAGGCATTGAGATCTCAAGGCCAAGGAGATGTGCATTTCAAACACTGTCCCTTCTAGAAGAGGGATCCGCAAACTTCTACCTGGAAGGGGCCAGACAGTAAAGATTCTGTTTAGACTTTGCCTAAATAGGTTTCTATCTGAACTTCTCAACTCTGCTGTTGCAGCAGAAAAGCAGCCATAGACAATACATTTAAAACACGGGCATGGCTATTTGTATTCAATAAAACGTGATTTGCAAGAACAAGAAGTGGTGGGATTTAGCCCATGGACCGTAGTTTGCTGACTTTTACTCTAGGAGAATGAAATAACTGAGTGAGTAGGCTCTGGGCCTCACTATCCCCAACACACACACACACACACACACACACACACACACACACTAACTTCAACCAAGGAGCTTTGTTTTTATCTTATGTTGCAAATTGAATTCCCATGTGAGATATTGCTTAAAACTACTTTTACTTCTGAAAAACAGATAAAGAAAACTTTGAAAACTATTTCAATAAATATTATCATAAAAATATGTATCTTTGGGGCACCTGAGTGACTCAGTTGGCTAAGTGCCCAACTTCGGCTCAGGTCACGATCTGGCAGTTCGTGAGTTTGAGCCCCACATTGGGCTCATGGCTGTCAGTGCAAAGCCTGCTTCAGGTCCTCTGTCCCCTTCTCTCTCTGTTCTTCCTCCTCTTGCATGTGTGCATGCATACACTCTCTCTCTCTCTCTCTCAAAAATAAATAAATAAATAAATAAATAAATTCTACTACTGTTTTTAGAATTAAGTCAAGACTCAAGTGACAGTAATGCTCGAAGAATTACTCATTAAATGTAAAATGACATCTATTCTCTCTTGTTAAATATAAATCCTTTTTAATTTCAAAGAGAAAAAAATTGCTTATGTTTTCATTATGTATATACTTACAAGTACTGGAAAATTCTAAGACCTGTGGGATGTTCACGAGCTCTGAATAAGTTGCTTATGACTTAAGCATGAAAGTAAGTTTCAGGGCCATTATTTACTTTCTTAACTAACTGATAAATTTTAGAAGAAAATCCTCATGGTATACCTGGGTACGGGGAGAGTTTCTGGGAATTTAGGGTGGGAAGGATAGAGAGATGACACTTTCACCTAATTTTTACCTATCATTCTTGAAAGAGCTTCCTTTCTAATCCCAGGGAAACCTTCAAGTAGTCTTCCCTTCAACCTAATTTGCCAGTAGCTTTCAAACTTCAGTTGCAAATACTTAATTAGAGATGCTCATTGAAAATGCAGAATCCTATTCTGCATTCACAAGATCTGAAGTTAGGTCCAGGGATCTGCATTTTTAACAAATATCCCGAGCTGGTGGACCACACTTTGGAAAACACCACAGCAAAGTGAAATGATGACATAAACTTCATTGATTTACAGCAGTAGGCTCTTACCATTCTGAAAGGCGAACAAATAAGATAATAGTATATTTTTTAGACAAGTGTTCTCTTTATTGTGATTTTTTTCCCAATGACCTATATTTGCTTTAGGTGTCTGAAAAATATTTTCTTTGTTGTTCCATTCATTGGTGTTCACTGACATCTACTCCTAAAGGAAATGTTTTTAAAGGGTACAGGATCACAACTGCACACAGATATGATCTATATTTTAAAGCAGCACTTGGTGTGAGACTGTTCTTAGATGTCTTTGGGGAGTTGAGTTCATATTCAGTTCTAAACGTACCAACCCCCAGTAGACGTGAGTGTTGCAGTCAACCAAGTTCAGATTATTGTACAAGGACATATTTTTAGCCAGTCCCAGATTTCATTCAAGCAGTGTTAAAACTTTCTTATATTTTGTTTTCATGAAAAGTATCTACTGTGGCTTCTAAGAAAAAAATTTTTAAAAAAGGAATCACAGGAACTAGAAGTATTGATCTGATTTAAAATGGGGAAAAAAAGGAATACAAGAGAACAGAGGCAAATATGTTGAGTATGCCAAGTACAAGCATGATAACAATCTACAAACATTTAGAAAATAGAAGTAAACACTTCCTTAGGAGGAAGAGTCATCATTTAGTTGAGCACAGAGAAACGGGTCCTGATTTCTGTGTAGTTTTCTGTCAAACTCAAAGTTGCTGAATACATAGTTTCAGCCATTTTTAAAAAGTTGTTTTTGGCACACAAAACTAAAGCTCTTAACTAATCCAGGACTGCTGATGTGAATGTAGCAAGAGTTTATTTACAATTAGGCCTCACATTCCCAAAGGTAAATCCATTTTTAAAAATCTTTAGGAAACATACCTCTGCAAAAACTCTGCTCTCCCCTCCCCCAAGGGTGTCAACTTGGGATGGGTGAATCAAATAATAAGCTTGCTGAGTAGCACAAATATTAGTAAGTATTTGCAACTCTCACAATTTCTGCTACTTTTTAAAAGCTTACAAGTTCAATGTTGCCCTGTGAGTAAACCATGTTAGCCAAGAAACCCAGGAAAACACTGAAATTTGCTGGCCTGGAAGATAATTCACATCCCCAGAGTAAAAACTGCTGCTTATCCACTCTCATCGTCCAGGCCACATGGTACATCTGCATTCGGGTTTCAATACTGATTCAAATACCACTTGCCTCTTTCATCTTGGTGTCCTCCCCAGGATCTATTTCCTCAGGAAGGTCAGTTCTGCACCATAATTACTTATATCTGAGCCTATATCTCTCTACCCTCTCATGATATTTTTCCGTGTGTGTGTGTGTGTGTGTGTGTGTGTGTGTGTTTTACCACATTCTGTCTTACCAATAAAAATCAACAGCTCTCTAGAAAAGAACTGGTTTGAAGTGTTGTATGGGGGAATCAAGTGCTTGCTTAAGGATACTTCCATACAATGGGAAGCTTCTGAGCAATGCAGAATCTCAACACCCATCCCAGACCTAAGGAATCTAAATCTTCACTTTAATAAGATCCCAAGGTGATTCTTATGTTTGAAATAAATTCTAGGCCCAAAATGGAACTACTCCTGCTCACGGTGCCACATCAGCAAACCAAAACTTAGGTAACTTTCATGTCCCAGCAAATGCTCTGCTTGACCAGAAACGATGTGTATCCAATCAGCCAATCCCAAACACGAAGACCTCTGGGCTCTGTACTTACTTTCTTGTTCCTTCTCACCCCAAACCAGGCTATATGACCCTAGCCAATCATATATTTCCTATTTCCTCTTCCTTGTTCTTTATTCTATAAAACTTCCTGCCTTTCACCCCATTTTTCAGTTCTCTGGAGACTGTCCACTTTCCGAAGTATTAAATCTTTTTAATGTTTATTTCTTTTTGAGACAGAGAGAGACAGAGCATAAGTGGGAGAAGGGCAGAGAGAGAGGGAGACACCGAATCTGAAGCAGGCTCCAGGCTCTGAGCCATCAGCACAGAACACACGAACCGTGAGATCATGACCTGAGCCGAAGTTGGAACCTTAACCAACTGAGCCACCCACGTGCCCCTCACTTCACGAAGTATTAAATAAAGTTTGTTTGTATTACCTAAACTGCATTCTTTAATAATTTTTTAACAGTACATGCTTTAAAGTTTGAAGAGCAATTCTTAGCCAACCAAGGAGTATGGAGAGGAGCAAGAGAGAATCAGAACCATCAGGGATGGTATTGTTTGTGCACATCTAGCTCACATTGCTCCCAGGATTCAGATTCAGCCATGCCTTAAGAGCCTGCCCTCTGTGGATGAGTGGAAGATGTACTGGGGATGTTTCTCCCATGTTTTTTCCTAGTGGTAAGAGTATTAGGATGTCATTTAGTACTCAAAGGCAGGCCACACAGATAGCAAATTTCTAGAGAAACAACTAGCTGTTCTCAACCATTATTTCTCCAGTGCAGAAGGTAGTGCCTGGCATATAATAGGTGTTAACTAATAAATTGCAAATGGAGGGGCACCTGGGTGGCTCAGTCAGTTAAGCATCCGACTTTAGCTCAGGTCATGATCTTATGGTTCATGGGTTCCAGCCCCACATCGGGCTCTGTGCTGACAGCTCAGAGCCTGGAACCTGGTTCGGATTCTGTGTCTCCCTCTCTCTCAGCCCCTGCCCCACTCATTCATTCATTCCCTCTCTCTCTCTCTCTCTCTCTCTCAAAAATAAATATTTTTAAAAAATTTTTTAATTGCAGATGGAATCTAAAGAGCATCAAAATCATTAATGAAATATATAAACATTTCAACAACGTGAATGAGACTTCTTGGTGTCGCCAACATGAGATTACCTCCCCTCCTAGTTTTCATTGCTTCTGACCAAGTCAAAACTATTATTCAATGGAATTTATCATCTATTTTGAATCTAAATCTCAACAAAAGCATAGTCGAGCTTGGTTAAGATAGTGACTCAAAGCTATTCTCTGACATCATGGAGTACATATTCTAAACTTTTGAGGGCTTGTTGAAACCTAATTACATGGTATGCACATGGTAGGAACTCCATTAATGTTGCTGACAGACTGACAAGATTCACTCACCCCTGGCTTGAGTCTTTGTGACTCAGTTCCACCTCAAAGGAAAAGAATTCAGTCTTCACCATCCTCTCTGAAGCGAGGCAGCCTTTCACTAACGTGGAAAACTAATTGCTTCTTTTCCCTGGATTGCATATTGCTTATTACTGGTATGACTTTCCAGTACCCAAGAAGCACAAATAGTGATCCCTGAAGCTGCTTTAACCTTTTCAGACTATAGCAACTTGATTGTTCGCCTCATTACACTCTGCAGACCTTCTCTGGGATGACAGCCCGAAATGGAGGGTTCCGCTGGCATCCTTTATTAGCACTTTTGTCACCATATCTCAGCACAGCAAATGTCCCAGGAGCGCAGGCACAAAAAAAAAAAAAAAAAAAACCTTCAGCAACCATCCCTCAGCATTGTAGTCCTGGGCACATTTCTTAACTATTAAATCATGTGTGTGCTTTCAAAAACATGAGCTTAATGAGCTTTGCCCACCCCAGCTGGCCCCAGGACAAACCCTTCACTAGAAAATTCCTCTGTATCTGGTTTTCCTATCATAAAGCAGGAACACTAGTGAAAATTCTAAAGCTTACAAAACTAAGATAAGGGATAGAAAAAGG